TACACACAACACACACACACACAACACATACACACACACACACACACACAACACATACAAAACACACACAACACATACAAAACACACACACCACATACAAACACACACACACATACACACAACACACACACACCACATACACAACACACACACACACCACATACAACACACACACACACACACACAACACATACACAAACACACACACACACACATACACACAACACACACACACACACACATACAAAACACACACACCACATACAACACACACACACACACACACATACACACAACACACACACCACATACACAAACACACACACACACACATACAAACACACACACACACACATACAAAAAACACACACACATACACACACACAACACATACACACACACACACACACAACACATACAAACACACACACACACACACATACACAACACACACACACACACACACACACATACACACACACACACACACACACAACACATACAAAACACACACACACACATACAAAACACACACACACAACACATACAAAACACACACACACACACAACACATACAAAACACACACACACACACATACAAAACACACACACACACATACAAAACACACACACACAACACATACAAAACACACACACACACACACATACACACACACACACACACATACAACACACACACACACACACACACATACAAAACACACACATAACACAACACACACACACATACAAAACACACACACACATACACAAACAACACACACAACACACACACATTTATTTTAATAAGAAAAGGTTTAACATTAAGAAGAGAAAACATGCAAATGTTGTTGAAATTTGTCCATAAATATTTAGTTTGGTCCATGACTTGGTCCCAGTTTTTGGCCCAATGTGAATTTGAGTTGAACCCTGCTGCCTGAGACTGAATGATCACACAGACCACAGAAAATGACAGAAATAGAACCGAGCCTCGCCCAACCGCTGGACAACCTGGATTTTGCAGGACTTGGCTTCAAAATAACAACAATCAACAAAACAAAAGTGATGAACAACAGAACCAAGAGAACACTGGCCTTAAAGACAGACACGGGTACAACAGAGACAGAGAGAAACTTTATTGATCCCGAGGGAAGTTCAAGTTTTGCTGCATCAACTGTTTTTGTTGATGTTGCCCACAACGCGCCTCAGTCACAACAGAAGAACAACCATGTGTCAGAACATCAACACGGTTCTCACTCTTTCACTGACAACATTTCAAAAACTTTTCCATGACTTTTTCATGACCTAAAGTGAATTTTTAATGACTTTATGGCACCTACATGTGTAGAATTGATCAGACTTTTAGGGCTAAATATGAAATGTGAACTCTTGCCACTCACCTTATGGTTTGGGATTACAGTTTTTGAACATTCAAAATCCTGTTAGTTCATTTATTGTCGACTCTTTTAAACAAAAGGCGCAGACGTTCAAAAATTCATCATAATAGCCTCATGAGAACTTAACAGATTTTCCAAGAAAAATGATTCCTTATTCCTATTTGCATACACGTTATTGTTAAAACATTGTGTTGAAATTGCATTTTTCTTAAAGTTTCAGGTTGTTCATAATATTATAATATTTTGTAAAAGAAAGAGTTCATTGATTAAAAACAGATTTCTGTAATAGATTTGTGTTTCTCTGCACAAATATTTGAACTTATTGTTATTTTTGGGGTTTATATGACATGAGTTTTCTGATCCGGACACTTTGGGATCAAAGTCGGTTGGATACGACCCCCGGAACAAAATGAGTTTGACACCCCTGGATTAATGTGATGATACAGTATCGACATCGTGGGCTGCTGTATCGATATATTGGCAAGAGTATTTTTTCATATATTTCGCTAAATTATTCTGTTACAGCTACAGTTTTGTTTCTTGTTCAGAGGAAAGAAACTCATTTATGCGACACATTTGACATTTTTTCTGATTAAACTGGAGTCACAGAACGGGGAATCGTAATTTGAGTGAGTCACTTTTAGACTGTTGCACCAATAACCAAAAACAGGGCCGGCTGTTGCTCAACAGTTACAGTGAAAGTCAGAGGTTTTTAGTTGTTTTTTTTTTCTTTTTAGTTTTATTTATTTAAAAGGGACAATGCATATTCATGAACATAGACTTGTAAATACGTCAGAATTTGCCCAAAGGTAATTTTCATCTGTAGTCCCTGGCAGGTCAGAGAGACAGAGACATAAAACATAAGAACATAAAACACAATAGACAAACACACAAGCAGGACATACAACACTGACATTTACACAGGAGCAGAACATTAGTGGTTACAGATCTGGTTTCTCTTAAGCCGTCGTTTCAGATTAGTTTTAAATGAACTGAATGTGGTGGAGTGTCTTTTAGCAGTTGGGATGTTGTTCCAGATTTCTGTTCCTTGACTGTTCACACCTGTTGACTGAACGTTGTGCGTCTATAAGGTTTTGCACAGTCGCCTCTGGTAGACGCTCTTGTTCCCCGACCACTAGAGCTGGACTTGGGCTTAATGAACTCACCCAGAGGAGGTGGAGCGAGTCCATTTAAGACCTTATATACTGAGCAGGCGAGTTAACATTTTTGAAAATTTCCAAAACTTAAGATATTATACTTCTGTAGTATGAGACAATGATGAAACGATAAAGATTTCCTCTCAAATATCTTTAACGCATTATTTTTAAGGTTGTCATGTTTGTCAGTGACCAGTTAAAGATGCAGTGTTCAATATGAGAGAGAATCATGATGTGGAGAAACATTTTAGCTGCTGACGTTGGACCCGACATTGACATTCAAGAAACAGATTAAGCGCCTCACGAAAACTGTTCATTTTAACTTAGTGAATTTTAGACAAGTAAGACCCTTTATGACTTTATATGCGGCACGAATGTTTTTACTCTCCATGATTCTGTCTCATATAGACGACTGCAGAACAACACGGTCACTCGCTGCTGGAACAACACTCAAACCCATCGAATCACTTTCTAAAAAAGCCATAAAAATATTGGACAAGAAACCATTCTCATTTCACCACTGCACTATTTTAGACAAGTATAATTTGCTTAATTTTAATAATTTTATTGGTTTTAAATATGGATGTTTTGTCTATAAAGTTTTGCATGGACTTGCCCCTCCTCCGTTACAGGATTTTACTAAAGTAAAATCCCGGGGGAACTGTGAGCTCCACACAGACGCTCCAGACTCGGACAATGTGTGTCTCAGTCAGAGGCACAACATTTTGGAACAGTCTGTCACTGTCAATAAGAGAAACTCCAACTCTTGCCACCTTCAAGTCCTACTTAAAAGAGCGGCTAAAGAAAAACCAGACTTGTGGACACTTTTAGTATAGATTTGTTACTTGTTTTTGCTTTGTTTAAATTTGTGGTGTTTCCTGCCGAGGGACGACAGATGGAAATGAGCAGCTATAATCTGGCATATTTACACTGCAATGTTGTAGATGTTCATTAATATGCACTGTCCCTATTCAATAAATAAATAAATAAATAAATTTCTGGCAATGATGATCTAATTTGCCTAAAATTGTGAATATTAAAATTAACAATTTTTGATATGTTTTTTACATGTTCAATTGTTGTGACGTTAGGCAAGACACTTCACCCACATGACTTAGTATGAAAGTGGTGTAAGTGTGGAGTGTGACTGGTGGTGGTCGGAGAGATTCTAATGTCGTGACCGAACACCAACGTCCATCCGTGACATGTTAGTGTCACATGAACCTTCTCACACTCTGAGGAGCTCAGGGCCCGGCCTCCTGCTGGTGCCCAGAGCCACGACTAAACACGGGGAGTCAGAGTTTCAGGTTCACGCAGCTAAAACCTGAAACATTCTTCCTGAACATGTGAGACAGACTCGACTTTGACGCTGTTTAAATCCAGACTCAAAACGGTTCTGTTCAGCTGCGTCTGACTGAAAGGTTTTCACTCTTATTTCTTATTTTATTTATTTGTAAAGGGACAGTACATATTAATGAACATTAAAAATGTAAATATGCAAAGATTATAGCCGACGTGGCTCATTTCCATCTTCAGTCCCTCGGCAGGTTGATGTAAAATCATCTATAGGACGAGGAAAAGTACAGCAACAATCACACAAAAGTACACAACACCAGCACACTCACTATACACACAATTAGTTTCAAACAGTTCATTTGAAGTTCAAAGTCAGAAGTTTAAGAATTAAGTCAAGAGTTAAACCAACAACCCCTCAAAATAAAAGAAAATATAAATTGGTTAAACATGGAGACATATTTGACCATTGAATAACCACTGTTTTAAAGCTTTAGAAAACGCTGCAGTGTTGAAAGTTCTCCACACTCTTCTCTCCAATTTATGTAATTAATGTCCCTCTCTCTTTTAAAGTTTTTTTAATTTTATGATGATTATTTATGTTTTGATTTGTTTTCATTGTGATTTTAATGTTTTGCTTATTCTGTAAAACACTTTGAATTACTTTGTGTACGAATTGTGCTCTACAAATAAACTTGCCTTGCCTAATTAATTGAACTTCACGTCTAATTACCTGAAAACCACTGCAGACCAAATGACTCCACTATGTCAACACTATAAACTCGTCTTTTTGGAGGTGCCAGGTTTTACTTGGAGCATCTTGCACTTTGATTAAATGTTTTTTTTGTTAAACTGCACTCACTTGTTTACTTACTGAACACTGAACATACTGTATGTTGTACATGTCTGGTGTAAATCCAGATGTGTATAAAATCTAAGATCAAGTGATTGAAAAACACCAACAAATGTTAAAGATATTCATATTTATTTCAAGTCATTTCACCAAAAGTATTTACAGTGCTCACATGCAACTGCACATGGAACCAAACACACTGTGCAACGGCAACTGTGCAAAATAAAACTATTTTATAGTAGAATTACTGTGATTCGTGTTTGTGTTGAAACTCGTCCAGACCTGCAAACAAAGAAGAAAGAACATGTGAACTGTGACCACTGTTTGAACCATTTATTACCTGAGTGTGTTGATGTCAGAATAATTTTATTATCCCATATTTGCTAAATGCTTGTGTGATATTCTAGGCCTATGAGTTAACCATTTATGTACTACAATTCTTTGATTTATAATGTACCAATCACTTGTATGAAAATGAATAACCTCTTTGTGTTTGACAACTGTGTGCAGTGTCCTATCGCTCTAGTGAACCTCGAGATGATTCCTCACATGAAGCCAACTCCCACTGTCACACATGCCAGAGTTATGATGGTGTCTGACCTAAGGCACCTCCTGATTGTTAATCATGTTTTATGTGTTTGTACTATGCTTAGCTGCATCAGTTTCTTATTATGTCTTTGCTGGTTTCCCCTTCCCCTTGAGAATTATCATTCTGTAACTAGGGCCTCCTAATGAAATAAAAAGAGGAGAACGGCCTTGAGTCATCAGAACGTGTGGAGACTGTTGGTTTTGATGCCCACTCTCTGCCCGTTCTCCTCATGAGTAAAACTGAATTAATCTCTTGTCTTTCTTCTTGTTTTTAAATGTCTAGATAAACCTAACAGTTGAGAAGGAAAGTTACACCGTACATTTACTTTACATTTACTTGAGCAGCTTTTGAATGAATAATAATAATAACGTTTACAACAACGCTCTCACTCAATCCACTCAATATTTTTGTAGTTGTAGTGAAATGAGAAAGACACAAGAGGTCAGGAGCTGCACTGTGAGGCATACGGTAGTGTCCTAGTGCTCGAGGCCGGTCTTGGTCTTGAGATCAGCCTCAAGACCGTTTTTTTTTTAATGGTATTGGTCTCGTCTCGGACTCAGCTGCATTTGGTCGCAGTCTTGTCTCGGTCTTGAACGCGCTTGGACTCGGACTCGAGGTCTGACATTCGACAAGTGTGATAATATTTCATTACGGCCGACAATTAACTTCTTACCGTGACGTGGTTGAAGTTTGCCTAATAAAAGTGCACAAATACGTTTGGTAAATGTGCAGAAGCTACAAATTTGAACAGGGTTAAAAATCCTACCCACTTTGTTCACTTTATTCACATTTTTCTGTAAAGTGCCAGTGGAACTTTTAGTGTATAACTGTCACTTGTTTTTGTTTTTTCTGTTAAATTTGTGGTGTTTCCTGCCGAGGGACGACAGATGGAAATGATCATTCTTGCTATAATGTGTCATATTTACTCTGCAGTGTTGTAGATGTTCATTAATATGCACTGTCCCAAATAAAATTAAATAAAATGAAATGAAATAGTTCTCTTAAAGAAGGGGTTCCCCAACTGTTGGTGAGGGTCCAAAAAAGTGGCGCAGTGTTTCAGTGCAGTAAGGTTTGCTTGGCTTATTTTAGGCCTAAATAATCATTAATCAGATCAAGTGGGGATAGATCTTTAAAAACATTGATATAAATGTGTCAAAATAACTGTAAAATACAAATAAATGTAGAAAATGACAAAGATGGCCTCAATTTGGTTTCGATAGGTTGTGGTCTTGGTCTTGTCTTGGCCTCGACCTTTAAAAATCTTCGTCTTGTTTCGGTCTCGACCCTCAGACGTCTCGGTCTTGTCCTGGTCTCGGGACCCTGTGGTCTTGGACTGGTCTTGGTCTTGACTACAAATCTAGCATATGTACATAAAATAACGTTTGCTCATCATGCCCCCACCTTTCAAAATAACAAAGCGACTTCACAAATATTTTCTACCCTGAGACAAAAGGTGTTGTTTTCCCTTAGATTCGATTTAAAGTCACTGTTCAGCCACATGTCAGACGGTTGTTGTTCTGATAATGGACTAACTGGTACGATTCATGCATTTCATTTCCTGTACACGTGATGTCCTGACCTGCTCAGACCAGGGGGTAGCTGGCGGCCGTCGCGATGCCACACTGGTTGTGTTTGTTCCTGGTCATCATGATGTAGCCCTTGGTCCCCCAGCTCTCTCCCCAGCTGCAGACACAGGGACACACTCAAGTACATCTGGAAAAATACTTCATAACTCATGAGGTGAGTCAAATTTGAGCAGTTTAACCCTAAAATCCAAGCTCTAACCATTTTCAAGTACTTTTTTAAGCTCAATATTGATTTAAAACAACTTAATAAAAGAATTTGTTCTGCTAACGTCTGGAAAACTGCAGAGGCCAATGGGATTTGATTCCCGCCTGGACAACTTTAGTTGCTGTTGCTTAGTAAGTTTTATTTTTCTTGATTTGTGCCAAAATGGTCACATATATCACTGGTAAAGAAAATAAAATGACATCTAACTGTCGGAGTGGCAGAATTTCCTTTTTTTTTTTTATCAGATCTTCCTGCACTCTGACATTTTTTTATTTCCTTAGTCACTGTGGTGGCACTTTAGCTTTTTTTTTCAACATTCCGCCATTCCAGCACACAAGGGAATTGTTCAGCTGCAGCGGCGCTCTTTTCAGGACTATATTTTCCCGAAAAGAGTGCCACTTTCCCACATATATATATATATATATATATATATATATATATATATATATATATATATATATATATATATATATATATATATATATATATATATATATATATATATATATATATATATATATATATATATATATACGGACTGGACGGTGTAGGAGGCACGGTGCACAGAACTTGTGTGGGAGAAGACACGGTCGGTGTGGCATGATTTAGTTCTGGTTAAATCCTGGTTTAGACTTGGTTTTAGTCCTGATTTTAGTCCTGTTTTAGACCTGTTTTTAGTACAGATTTTAGTCTTGGTTTAGACCTGGTTTAGACCAGGTTTTAGTCCTGATTTTAGCCCTGGTTTAATACTGGTTTAGTCCTGGTATAGACCTGGTTCAGACCTGTTTTAGACCTGTTTTTAGTCCTGATTTTATTCATGGTTTAATCCTGGTTTAGTCCTGGTTCAGACCTGTTTTAGACCTGGTTTTAGTCCTGGTTTAGTCCTTGTTTTAGTTCCTGTTTAGAGGGGTCCGCGCTGTGCAGGGGAGGAGGTGCGGCCTACACAAAAAAGTGACGTTCCAAACTAGTAGTAGGTTGTCAGAATTGCGACATAAAATGTAATGTAATGATAGAAAGTGGAAGTGGGCGTCTGTACCCGGTGAGAACAGGAGTGACTCAAACATGCATAAATCACTCTAAATACACATCTGAATGGGTAAATGAGAAAGGAAACAGTTACAATATGGTTAAAAGCTCTAAGAAGTCAGTTACGTTTATTAGTTTTCCTTTATCCATGGCCTGTTTCCAAACCTTAACCATGTGCCTTTTCCTTTTCCATTTAGAACCAACCAAGCTTAAAGGAAAAAAGTAACATAAATACCATTGAATAGTACAATAACGACCACTGACCTGTTCTTGACCAGCCAGTAATCCCCGTTCCCGTCCGACCCGTAGCCCACAGCCAGAACTCCATGGTCCAGGTCGGAGCTGCTGCACGCCGGCTCGTCATACACTCCTGATTCATAGAACTGGAAGGACTCGTGACCGGCGTCGATGGCCACAGAGACGGGACCGACAGTGGCCACGGCCTCCTGCAGCGCGTCCTCGTCTCCGCTCTTAACGTCGACGTAGCCCGAGCACGTGGCTCCGATTTTGGAAGGATCGTAGCGGCATTTCCTATCCTGCAATACAAAACACAGCACGAGTATTACACAGGACTTCGTAGAAACCGTGTGACCTCGCAGCGTTAAGATTCGTTCGCTCGACGGTAAACGGGTACTTTTATTATTTAACCAATCGCTGCTGTTTGGTCGTGACGTATGTAATGCTCCAAATCCTGTAGGAAAAAGGACAATAACGTCTTTCCCCTTGATCAAATTCAACAAACTTTCTCTTTGTTCCGGCTTTAAATCCTCGATCTGGGGAATCGTTGAAAAACAGAATGTCTGTCTTCGTCTACATCGTCTCGACGCTTCGTTTACTGTTGTGCTGTTCCACAAAAGGGACACAGACAGACGCCACGAGTTTGATGTCATGACTTCACAGCTCACAGCTGATTGGTCGATGCGCCGTCTACAACTTCTGGGATTCTTGCAAAACTGTCTAGTGCAGACATGTCAAACTCAGGCCTGGGGGCCAAACTTAGCCCACGATATTTGGCCCACGAGATCATATCAAATCTGTATTCAGTGTTGGGGAGTAACAGATTACATGTACTGGAGTTATGTAATCAGAGTACAAATTATGAGTAACTGTATTCAGTTACAGTTACTGTTTCAGTGAGTGGTAATTGGATTACAGTTACTTTGTTGAAATAAATGGATTACACAGAGGGATTTAACTGTTTTCATATTTTGGGCTAAACCAGGACTAAACCAGGACTAAAACTAGGACTAAAACTAGGACTAAAACCAGAACTAAACCAGGACTAAACCAGGACTAAACCAGGACTAAACCAGGACTGAACCAGGACTGAACCAGGACTAAAACAGGACTAAAAACCAGGAACTAAAACCAGGAACTAAAAAAGGACTAAACCAGGACTAAAACCAGGACTAAAACCAGGACTAAACCAGACTAAAACTAGGACTAAACCAGGACTAAACCAGGACTAAAACCAGGACTAAACCAGGACTAAACCAGGACTAAAACCAGGACTAAACCAGGACTAAACCAGGACTAAACCAGGACTGAACCAGGACTAAACCAGGACTAACCAGGACTAAACCAGGACGAAAACCAGAACTAAACCAGGACTGAACCAGGACTAAACCAGGACTAAAACCAGGACAAAAAAAACAGGACTAAACCCAGGACAATATCAAGTAATCCAAAGTATTCAGATTACATTACTCACTTTAAGTAATTTAATGGATTATGTTACAAACTACATTTTGGGGTGTGTAATCTGTAATCTGTAGGGGATTACATTTTTAAAGCCACCTTCCCAACAGTGTATTAGAGCTGCCCGCCTGCTACAGATGGACTATAGAGATATTATTTAATTAAAAATGTGTTATTATTTTATATTATAGTTGTTCTGGGTCCGATGTTTAAGAAAAACTATTATTAAACATTTATTTTAATAAGAAAAAGTTCAACATTACATATCTCAAAAGAAGAGAAAACATGCAGATGTTATTGAAATTTTACAATAAATATTTAACTTGGCCCATGACAGTTTTTAAATTTTGGCCTCTGTGAATTTAAGTTTGACTCTCCTGGTTTAGTTTCTTCCAATTCCTGATCGAGCGGCCGGAGAGAAATGAAACTGAAATTTCAGGATAAGCCTGGATTTGTTAAGCGACTTGATGAAACATTCTCTAGTATTGAATGTACAATAACAGAGATTTTTTAACACTGTGATTGAGAAAGAAATATTACACATTTTTTACACTGGCCCCAAGCCGACAGTTGTAAGTTTTTTTTGTTTTGTTTAGTTTTTTTCCCCATATTTCACAACACTGATCGTAATGATGTGAAAGTTGTTTTCTGAAGTTTGCTAATCACACAACTGACTCAGGGTCAGTGTGTCGCTCCTCCACTTTTCTACGAAACTCAAAAACACTAAAATGTGTTTAGTGATCGTCTACGCTCACTTTTACACAACTTGAATTAACGAATAATTAATGAATGAACTTTCCCGTCTGCAACTAGTCCAGAACTCCACGTCACGACTTTTAACAGAAGAACTGAAGTGATGTATTGATTTGGAGTGAGATGAGAGTTTGTTCAACTTGTTCTGTTGTTTATGTTCTAGTTTATGTGAAGAACTGTTCATATGTGACGTTAACAGTTGTTTTCTCTTCTGTTGTTTTAATAGAACTCGACTTTCAGCAGGAAATGTCGGTTCTTGGTCTCATTTTATCTCAAAAAGTGCAACTTATATGAAATGTCTTCTGAACCAGACCAGGACTGAACCAGGACTAAACCAGAACTGAACCAGGACTAATCCAGGACTAAACCAGGACTGAACCAGGACTAATCCAGGACTAAACCAGGACTAAACCAGAACTGAACCAGAACTAAACCAGGACTAATCCAGGACTAAACCAGGACTAAACAAGGACTGAACAAGAACTAAACCAGGTCTAAACCAGAACTGAACCAGAACTAAACTAGGACTAAACCAGGACTAAACCAGGACTAAACCAGGACTGAACCAGAACTAAACCAGAACTAAACCAGGACTAAACCACATCTACTTTTAACTCCGAACACTGACCACAACTCAATGATTTTAGGATTAACAGCAGAGTCTGTATTTGATGTCTGTTTGCTGTGTGTTTTATTGTGCCGTTGGCTCTCACCTCGGCCTCGTAGGGGTAGGCCTCCTCTGTGTCGATGCCTCCGTTGGCCTCGATGTACTGGAAGGCCTGGTCCATCAGTCCTCCACTGCAGCCCATGTTCCCAAAGTGTCCAGAGCAGTCGACCAGCTGCTGCTCACTCAGAGACACCAGTTTCCCCGTCTTCCTGAAGGTCTGTCCCTCCAGTGAACCCGTCTGAAAACAACACAGTCACACAAACATTCAGAGTTTGGACACTTTCAGGGGCAACGTCTGAGGTTTTCAGGTGGAGGCTCTGAAATCTTTTCTCCCTAGACAAGCTGGTTTTCCTAGACTCGTCTGCAAAATAATATTGTTACGGCCCCCGGACCTTAGTTACCTCCACCTTTGCCGGCGTTTGTCTGTTTGTCTGTTTGTCTGTCTGTCTGTTTGTTCTGTCTGTTTGTCTGTTTGTCTGTTTGTCTGTTTGTCTGTCTGTTTGTCTGTTTGTCTGTTTGTCTGTCTGTTTGTCTGTTTGTTTGTGTCTGTTTGTCTGTTTGTCTGTCTGTTTGTCTGTTTGTCTGTTTGTCTGTGTCTGTGTCTGTTTGTTTGTCTGTTTGTTTGTCTGTTTGTCTGTCTGTTTGTCTGTTTGTCTGTTTGTCTGTCTGTCTGTTTGTTTGTCTGTTTGTTTGTCTGTTTGTCTGTCTGTTGTTTGTCTGTTTGTCTGTTTGTCTGTCTGTTTGTCTGTTTGTCTGTCTGTTTGTCTGTTTGTCTGTTTGTCTGTTTGTCTGTTTGTCTGTTTGTCTGTCTTGTTTGTCTGTCTGTTTGTCTGTTTGTCTGTCTGTTTGTCTGTCTGTTTGTCTGTTTGTTTGTCTGTCTGTTGTCTGTCTGTTTGTTTGTCTGTCTGTTTTGTCTGTTTGTTTGTCTGTTTGTCTGTTTGTGTGTGTTTGTTTGTCTGTTTGTCTGTTTGTCTGTTTTGTTTGTCTGTCTGTTTGTCTGTCTTTGTTGTCTGTCTGTCTGTTTGTCTGTTTGTTCTGTTTGTCTGTGTCTGTTTTGTGTCTGTTTTGTCTGTCTGTTTGTCTGTTTGTCTGTTTGTCTGTTGTGTTTGTTTTGTTTGTTTTTGTCTGTCTGTTTGTCTGTTTGTGTCTGTTTGTCTGTCTGTTGTTTGTGTCTGTTTGTTTGTCTGTCTGTTTGTCTGTTTGTCTGTTTGTCTGTTTGTCTGTCTGTTTGTCTGTTGTTGTCTGTTGTCTGTTTGTTTGTCTGTTTGTTTGTCTGTTTGTCTGTTTGTCTGTTTGTCTGTTTGTCTGTCTGTTTGTCTGTTTGTCTGTTTGTCTGTTTGTCTGTTCTGTTTGTCTGTTTGTCTGTTTGTCTGTTTGTCTGTTTGTCTGTTTGTCTGTTTGTCTGTTTGTCTGTTTGTTTGTCTGTTTGTCTGTTTGTCTGTTTGTCTGTTTGTCTGTTTGTTTGTCTGTTTGTCTGTCTGTTTGTCTGTTTGTCTGTTTGTCTGTTTGTCTGTTTGTCTGTTTGTCTGTCTTTGTCTGTTGTTTGTCTGTTTGTCTGTTTGTCTGTTTGTTTGTTTGTTTGTTTGTTTGTTTTGTTTGTCTGTCTGTTTGTTTGTTTGTTTGTTTGTTTGTTTGTTTGTCTGTTGTTTGTCTGTTTGTTTGTTTGTTTGTCTGTTTGTTTGTTTGTCTGTTTGTTTGTTTGTTTGTCTGTTTGTTTGTTTGTTTGTTTGTCTGTTAGCAACATAACTCAAAAAGTTATGGACCGATTTTGATGAAATTTTCAGGATTTGTTGGAAATGTGAAAAGGAAGAACTGATTTCATTTTGGGGCTGATCCGGAAGAAATCCTGGATTCTGGATCACTTTGAAATTTTAGTTAACATTGTGGTAAATGGGGCCAAAACTTTTGATTCTCAATATCTCGGTTAATTATTGACCAAACCCCATGAAATTTGACTCAGGGATGGACAGTGGGATCCTCTTTCATATTCCAAATTGAAAGATACGAGACAAATATTTATGGAAAACACAATTAATATGAGGGGGACTGTAGTCCTTGGCGGAGTCTGCGCTCTCTGACTGCTTTTCTAGTTCTAATTAGTTTTGTGTGATTTCGCTGATCTCTCCTGATTCCTGCTGCGGTAGCCCTGGTTTGTGATTGTTGTCATGTCGACGCCCACCTCACCTGCAGCCACCGCCCCCTACTTAAGGAGATTACCTGCACCTGATCAGGGCTGCTGGTCTTGGTGCCATTTTGGTTTCGTGTGTGTAGTTCTGTTTTGTGCCTTTTTTTGACTGTGGGTTTATGTGGTTTAATTTGGGGAACTTGTGTTTTAGTTTAGTGTGTGTCCCTGTGTTAACCACTCGTTATTGTGGAAGCCTGCGTGACCCGTTTTGTGGCACAAAACTCATTGTCTGTTGTTTTGTCTCTTCGTTTAGGTTATTTTCTGTATATTTTAGTCTTTTGTTAATTTACCTTTACATTCCTGTTAATTAAACATTATTTAATTTATTCCATTTTACATCTTGGTTTTATTTTTGTTACTTCCCTGTCCCTAGCAGAGCTGGGTCGTAACACATTGGGGGCAATTGTAATATTCCGCCCGCATCTGCGATAAACCTGCACACCAGGGTTATAACTTTTTGAACTTTTTTTCCAAAATCAAAGTCCTGCATCATGATTGGATGAACTTTTTGGTATAATTGAAGAAACCAAACTCCATCTTCAGTCCCCCCGAAACAAAAAAATATTAAATACACATTACAGCCGATGATATGAAATGTGAAACTGAGTTAAGTTCTCACAAGGGCCATTACAAGTCAGTCTGACTGAAAATGGATCAATAATAAGTTGTATTGCATCATAATATACTGGAGTTTCACTTTCTATTCTTGCTTTCACTTTATAAGACAACTAACCAACACTGACAATTATCATTTTTGGACTTTTAGTTTCCTATTTTATCTGATCTTTACCCTGATGATGTGTTTTGTTCCTGTGTGATTAAAGAGAAAATTGCCTTTGGTGATTTTATGATTGAACAGATATTAACCTTCTAACAGTTTTATTCTGGCTGTTGCTTTACCAAAACTTCATTTTGAGTCCGGAGGGACTTTTTTCAAAAATATGACCAACTGAAGGTCAGTTCCTTTCATTACTAGCAAAAGTTTATTAAAATATGATACAGGGTATAGAGGTTGTAAAAAAGTCATAACACTAATGTACCGTCTATGGTGTGAACCCACAACTGTACTAAACTCTCATAAACCTAACAGCTCTTACTCTTATGGGAAGTTTTGGATATTCTTGTGGTGGGGACTTGTTTTTATGAGTGTGGGGAATGATTACTGAAATAAACACTGAACACTCACAGCGCTGAAGGCCCAGCAGGAGCCACACGCCTTCTGGTCCTTGACTGGAGTGACGAAGCCCTTGTCCCTCCAGTCCACAGCGGCGGGCAGGTCTGTGAGCTCAGGGGTGTGGAGGAAGGTGGAGCCGTGACGGGGCAGGGAGCTGTTGAAGGACCTGAGGCAGCCCTGGGACACCAGGCTCCTGTACTCGTGGTTTTCCTACAGGATCAGGATCACAGGACATGAACACCTCCATCTTTAAGAATCCGTGTATCATTTGTTCATTTGTTTTTCAATGTAAAACCAAAAATAAGAAAACGAAAAAAAACAACAGTTTTCTTCATTATTTGTCTCCAAAACCAAAATGAAAAAACAGATAATGATTCGTTTTTTCAGTTTTCGATTTTGTGTTTAAATGAAAAATGGAAAAAACTGACAATGACCCGTTTACGTGACTCCAGTGACTGTGATGCCGCACTTTTGCACTGCATACGGACTGAACCAGGACTGATCCAGGTCCGGGACCAGACCGGGACCAGACCGGGACCAGGGCGGACTCCGAGCTTTGACTCCGAGCCTCTGTGGGGTCCGAGCCTCAACTTCCAGCTCCGGCCCTGCTGTGGGCTCTGAGCCTCCGATCTGGTCCCGGCCTGGTCTCAGTCTCAGTCCCGGTCTGGTCCCGGTCTCAGTTCTGATCTCAGTCTTGGTGTGATCTCGGTCTGGTCTCGGTGTCAGTCCTGCTCTGGTCCTGGTCTCAGTCCCGGTCTGGTCCTGGTCTCAGTCCCGGTCTGGTCCTGGTCTGGTCCGGGACCTGGATCAGTCCTGGTTCAGTCCGTATGCAGCGTAAAAGTGCAGCATCACAGTCACTGGAGTCACGTAAACGGGTCATTGTCAGTTTTTTCCATTTTTCATTTAAACACAAAATCAAAAACTGAAAAAAAACGAATCATTATCTGTTTTTATTCATTTTGGTTTTGGAGACAAATAATGAAGAAAACTGTTGTTTTCTTATTTTTGGTTTTATATTGAATATTGAATGAACGAATGATACATGGATTTTTAAGAGCCTAGGACAGTTTAGTTTGTCAAAAAATGTGTCTTGCGTCTAAATTGTGCACAACATTTAGATAAATTCTATCCAAAAGAATGAGAACTTCGCACATCAACCACTTGAGACGGTGCGTCGGAGGAGAGGGAGCAGCCCAAGAACGTAGAGAAAAATCCCATCTTACTTGCAAATTGTTTATTAGGACAACCCTTGCAATGTTTCATTTTTACCTGACGAAGGCCTAGTGCAGAAACGTTGCACGGTTTGTCCTAATAAATCTCACAGTTTGCAAGTAAGACGGTGCAGGATTTTTCTCTAGATGAATTCTATCCAGAAGTTGTGCACATTTTACACTACGAATATCTTCAAATCTACTTCCTGACTTGTAAATGTTTTCAGTTTTTCTTCACAAATTGCTTCTTCATTTATGGTGTGTTGATCATTTATATTTTCAACAGGTTTTATCTCCCAATAGAGAATCATAAAAACCTGCCATATGCATTTTAAAAACAAACACGTGTTTTCTGTACCAGATCAGCGAAGTAGTTCATCCCGAGGCGGTAGGACTTGATGCCCTGATCGGCCAACATGTTGTGCACCAGCACCAGCTTACGGTTACGCAGCCACACGTCTCTGCGCTGAGCCTCCTCAGACGGGGAACTGTACGACTTTCCTACAGGACAACAAACTCACATGATACACACTTCTGACTGTGTGGACCGTGTAGATACTGTACAGTTTGCTTGGCTTATTTTAAGCTTAAATGAACATTAATCATAACAAATGGAGATAGATCTATGGAAGCATTGACATGTATGTCCCAAATTAACTCTAAAATAAGTGTAGAAAATGACATAGATGGTCTTGATTTGGTCTCGGTCTTGTTTCAGTCTCGACCTAATACTTAATACTCGACCTTTATACTAATACTAATGTGTCCGGTCAAGTGGTAACGGAGGGAAACAGGGGTCAGATTTTTGACATTCAAATGTCTCTTATTCAGAAACTAGAGAAACTATTGAAATAAGTAAAGTATCAGAATGTAGGAAAGAGTTACACTCCAACAGGGTCAAGTTAAACCTGTGATATTCTTTCAAGTTGACAAAAAATTTAAAAACTCATGTCGGTAACGGAGGGAATGAAATATGCAGCACTTTTTGGTCAATAAATCCAAACAGTGATAACTCTTGGTTCTCACTTCCATATCCTTAACAAACTGGTTTGAATATTTGCTTCATATAGTTTTCTACCATATGGTACAAGATTAGGTTGAAAAACCTCTGACTTTTTGACTCATGAGATTTTTTATTAAGAAAGGTCATGGTAACGGAGGGAAAAGTAACGGAGGGAAAATTGTACAAACAAGTAGAAGGTGCAGGATTTTACATCATTTGTCGCTTTTTTCTTCTAAATACTTTAATATTACTTCAAAATGAAAGGAAACTATTTCTATAAAATATGTCAGTCCTTCCAAGCAAATTTTTTATCATTTTAAATACATTTTTTGGAAAAATCCTGTCCCTTCATCAACAGTTCAAAGATGGAATAACACAAGATATGATGAAATACATCCATTTATTTACATGATTTTCAGGTCTTTGAAATTTGGGAAATAATTTTTGTTCCATGTTTCATACATGGTCTGTTTAAAACATATGGAACTTTAGAACCAAAAAATGGTACAGAAAAAAGGTCAACAGTTTGATAAACTAGAGTACATATGTATCTGTTCAATACATTTTTATATCAGATGAATTAACTTGAATTTTTGGCCTTGTTGTTTACTTCTGCTTGACTGGGCCTTAATATTAGTGTTGTAGTCAAGACCACATTAGACCAAGACCTGTCTGAGACCAGAGTCCTGAGACCTAGACAAGACTACAACACTAGTATTAATATTAGTATTAGTATTTATTTGATTTATTTATTTGATTGGGACAGAGCATGTTAATGGACAAACATGACACAACAAGAATGTAAACACACCGGGTTGTAGCCTAAGGCTAATTTCCATCTGTTGTCCCAAAGTATTAGAAGTATTAGTAAAAGTATTCATAATTGTAGTGAGTCTTAAGATTTAACTTTGGAAACACGTCCCTCAAAACGTGCTTTACAACAAGTGACCTATATTTTGTGAGCACTACTGCAGTAAAACTCTACTTACTTAATTAATAATTTACTACATATATGTGCATAGAACTGTTACAGGGTATTTACAGATCCATAAAAAGGCAAAGGTTGCTGTGTCAATAAAACATATTGAGCAAATGTCAAGTACTTGAACAGAGTTTCCATGTGTTTTCAGCTGCACTGACACAAAAACAAAGAAAGAACAATGTCAAAAAAAACCAAAAACCTCTTACCAAACTTGAGCTTCCATGCGTGAAACTCCAGGTCTTCCAGAGAGACGCTGGCGCCGCCGGCCACGACGAGAAGAGCAGCAAAGCCCAGCAGCAGCTTCATCCTGACAGACCACAGCAGGTGCACAGAACCACACGCAGATCAGTCACAAGACGGAGCCACCACTTCCTGCATCATCTAATCTATTCCTCTTCATTGTCAGCGGTGATCTGAGAGTGCACCTGCTCTGAGTGTCTGCGTGTGTGTCTGCGTGTGTGTGTGTGTCTTACCTGAGTGTAGTGCAGAAACAGGAGTGTCTCGGGGCGTCCCTCAGGGCTCTTATATAGGTCCCTGTGTGTTATTGCCTGCGGTGCATCGGGTCATGTGGAAGTCAGCTGCTCAGGGAATAAAACAAACCAGCACATGCTCATGACTTTGCATAAATGTATCTTTATGTTCATCATTTACTCTTCCATTTTTACTGACTTTTAAAATAGCTGACTCAGTTTTTTTTTTTTTTCATTTGTTTGCTTTATTGTTTTGATTTTGAAAACATTGGTTCATGTTCAGGGCGACTCCTCTTGTCAAATGAAGCTTTACAAATCAAACTAAATTTTAACTTTAGATAGTGTTTTCAGACAATTAACGTAGGAGAGCATAATTAACTTCCCTCCTTTTCGTGCTTTTGATTTCTGAGAAACACAAGTAACATTTCCTGCTTTCACTGGAATGAATATTGCAAAAGTCTTTCTTGTACAGAGAGCAGGTGCAGTGTAGAAGGAACATGTGAAAGGTGGTTTCCCCGGTATCTCCAGCTCCTCTCGACTCCACGTACGAGAACAGTCTGTGAAAGTGCACAGAGCTCGTTCTTTTGCACAGTGTTTAGTTTCACCGTACCTCTGCAAAAGAATGTATGTAATGTACAGTGTTGGGAAATTACTTTTAAAATGTAATCCCCTACAGATTACAGATTACAGACCCCAAAATGTAGTTTGTAACGTAATCCATTAAATTAATTAAAGTGAGTAATGTAATCTGAATACTTTGGATTACTTGATATTGTCCTGCTTTTTAAAATGACATGAATGAACCAACCACATCCTGAAAATTCTTGTTTGTTTTCTTCAAATTGTCTGTTGAGCCCAAGTCTCCAAGAACAGACTTTTGTTTTACTGTAGAGAAGAAAAGACGAAGACGTTTTATCTGCTAAAAGAAAATAAAAAGTTCAAGTCTTTCCTTAACCAGATAAAAAATATTATTGATAGAGAAATGATTTTTATATGAGACACTGCTGCTTTAAATTATGTTTACCTACTGTTAGTGTCATAATGTTTAGACCTGGTTTAGTCCTGGTTTAGACTTGGTTTAGTTCTGATTTTAGTCCTGGTTTAGTCCTGCTTAAGACCTGGTTTAGACCTAGTTTAGACCTAGTTTAGACCTAGTTTAGACCTGGTTTAGACCTGGTTTAGACCTAGTTTAGACCTGGTTTAGTCCTGGTTTAGACTTGGTTTAGTTCTGATTTTAGTCCTGGTTTAGTCCTGCTTAAGACCTGGTTTAGACCTAGTTTAGACCTAGTTTAGACCTGGTTTAGACCTAGTTTAGACCTAGTTTAGACCTAGTTTAGACCTGGTTTAGTCCTGGTTTAGACTTGGTTTAGTTCTGATTTTAGTCCTGGTTTAGTCCTGCTTAAGTCCTGGTTTAGACCTAGTTTAGACCTGGTTTAGACCTGGTTTAGTCCTGATTTTAGTCCAAAATGTGAAAACAGGAAAATCCCGCCGTGTAATCCATTTATTTCAACAAAGTAACTGTAATCCAATTCCCACTCACTGAAACAGTAACTGTAACTGAATACAGTTACTCATCATTTGTACTTTGATTAATTAACTCCGGTACATGTAATCTGTTACTTCCCAACACTGGTGATGTATGTGTGACTTGTTTTTTGAGTGTGGATTTGTGTGACTGTGACATTGTCAAAACCCTTTGGTCAGTTATTTTGTGTAGCCCAAAAAAGATTTGATCAAACAGAAGTAAATAAGAGCGACAGGGATGTGCATGGATCCAGGAGGAAGTTCAAGTTTTGCTGCAGCACAATGTTTCTGTAGCTGCGCGTCTCAGTCAAAGTTCTGCTCTGGTTGGTAACATGAAAAAATAAAAATAGTGTAGTTGAATAAAGCTGCACAATTTTGTCAAATGATCTAATTGCGATTGTGGTTAGATTTGTGATTTCAATGTTACAACGTTCACATTATAAACTATTGATATAGTTTATAATGTTTTATAATGTTCAATATTAGAGAGAAGATTGACATATGATCTGTCAAACTAATACAAGAACCACAGGTACTGGCCCCTGGGTCGTTTCATACCCTGAAAGCACAACCCTCCCTTCAAAATGACCACATGGACCACACCTCCTCTTGTGCACCGCACGGGCCGCATCTATAAACCAGAACTAAAACCAGGACTAAACTAGAACTAAACTAGAACTAAAACCAGGACTAAACTAGAACTAAACTAGAACTAAAACCAGAGCTAAAACCAGGACTAAACTAGAACTAAACCAGAACTAAAACCAGGACTAAACTAGAACTAAACCAGAACTAAAACCAGAGCTAAAACCAGGACTAAACTAGAACTAAAACCAGGACTAAACTAGAACTAAACTAGAACTAAAAACCAGAAGCTAAAACCAGGACTAAACTAGAACTAAACCAGAACTAAAACCAGGACTAAACTAGAACTAAACCAGAACTAAACCAGAGCTAAAACCAGGACTAAACTAGAACTAAACCAGAACTAAAACCAGAGCTAAAACCAGGACTAAACTAGAACTAAACCAGAACTAAAACCAGGACTAAACTAGAACTAAACCAGAACTAAAACCAGAGCTAAAACCAGGACTAAACTAGAACTAAAACCAGGACTAAACTAGAACTAAACTAGAACTAAAACCAGAGCTAAAACCAGGACTAAACTAGAACTAAACCAGAACTAAAACCAGGACTAAACTAGAACTAAACCAGAACTAAAACCAGAGCTAAAACCAGGACTAAACTAGAACTAAACCAGAACTAAAACCAGAGCTAAAACCAGGACTAAACTAGAAACTAAACCAGAACTAAAACCAGGACTAAACTAGAACTAAAACCAGGACTAAACTAGAACTAAACCAGAACTAAAACCAGGACTAAACTAGAACTAAACCAGAACTAAAACCAGGACTAAACTAGAACTAAAACCAGAACTAAACCAGAACTAAAACCAGGACTAAACTAGAACTAAAACCAGGACTAAACTAGAACTAAACTAGAACTAAAACCAGAGCTAAAACCAGGACTAAACTAGAACTAAACCAGAGCTAAAACCAGGACTAAACTAGAACTAAACCAGAGCTAAAACCAGGACTAAACTAGAACTAAACCAGAACTAAAACCAGGACTAAACTAGAACTAAACCAGAGCTAAAACCAGGACTAAACTAGAACTAAACCAGAACTAAAACCAGGACTAAACTAGAACTAAACCAGAGCTAAAACCAGGACTAAACTAGAACTAAACCAGAGCTAAAACCAGGACTAAACTAGAACTAAACTAGAACTAAAACCAGGTCTAAACTAGAACTAAACCAGAACTAAAACCAGGACTAAACTAGAACTAAACCAGAACTAAAACCAGGACTAAACTAGAACTAAACCAGAACTAAAACCAGGACTAAACTAGAACTAAACTAGAACTAAACCAACTAAAAGCAGGACTAAACTAGAACTAAACTAAACAACTAGAACTAAAACCAGGACTAAACTAGAACTAAACTAGAACTAAAACCAGAGCTAAAACCAGGACTAAACTAGAACTAAACTAGAACTAAAACCAGAGCTAAAACCAGGACTAAACTAGAACTAAACCAGAACTAAAACCAGAGCTAAAACCAGGACTAAACTAGAACTAAAACCAGAACTAAACCAGAGCTAAAACCAGACTAAACTAGAACTAAACTAGAACTAAACCAGAACTAAAACCAGGACTAAACTAGAACTAAAACTAGAACTAAACCAGAACTAAAACCAGGACTAAACTAGAACTAAAACTAGAACTAAACCAGGACTAAACTAGAACTAAAACTAGGACTAAACTAGAACTAAAACCAGAACTAAACTAGAACTAAACTAGAACTAAAACCAGGACTAAACTAGAACTAAAACCAGAACTAAAACCAGGACTAAACTAGAACTAAACCAGAACTAAAACCAGGACTAAACTAGAACTAAACCAGAACTAAAACCAGGACTAAACTAGAACTAAACTAGAACTAAAACCAGGACTAAACTAGAACTAAACCAGAGCTAAAACCAGGACTAAACTAGAACTAAACTAGAACTAAAACCAGGACTAAACTAGAACTAAACCAGAGCTAAAACCAGGACTAAACTAGAACTAAACCAGAACTAAAACCAGGACTAAACTAGAACTAAAGCAGAACTAAAACCAGAAATAAATCAGGACTAAACTAGGTCTAAAACCAGGTCTAAAAACAGGACAAAAACAGGATTTAACCAGGACTAAATCATGCCGCATGGACTGCGCACCGCGTGTGCACCTTGCTTCTTCAATACACCGCCCCCCGATCCGCAAAATATTGTCGGACATAAACCCGGTCCGGTCTGTAGCGCAGAAAAGGTTGGGGACCACTGGTCTAAACTACAGGTACTGCAAGATTTTACCATAAAAAATCAAACTAAATAACACAATTATATTTTGCTTTTCTATTTTGATTGAATGTGACTGATTGTGCAGCCTCGTCTTCGTCATAAACTTTGTCCAATGTAAAAAACACTGAGGAAAAGTTAGAACCAGAGGCGGCGCTGCCATTAGGCAACAGTAGGAGACTGGCCAAGGCCCCTGAACCGAGAGGGGCCCCCAAACAATTGCCCTCATCGCTACTACAGGCCAAGGCCTCAGAGCAAATAGATTTTCTCTCCATATGACAGTAACTGAGAGTGTTTTACTTTTAAACAAGAAAACACCATCAAAATAGAATCTGATTGTCAAATCTATTTGAACTGTTACGTGAGAATGAACAAATCAGCTTGACTCTGATCTGAACAGAATCATACAGAATCATAATCATATGTAATGGATGTAAACAAAAATGTAAATGTACCAGCAAAAAACACAAAACTACTTTCAGCTCTGGTTTTGTAGTTGGCGACCGAACTAAGACAAGTTTCTAATCCACCAAATTAAGACGTGCGTGTCTCATGAACAATGGGAAAAAACAGACAAAATATTTCCATCCATCCATATTTTCTTGCGCTTATCCGAGGCCGGGTCGCGGGGGCATCGG